CAACTCCAATGCAGAACACATGGTTTTACCCCAAAGCTGTATTTTACCTTCATCAGTCACATGTCTCTATCCAAATTTCCTTTTATAAGAACACCGGTGATAATGAATTGGGGCCCACTCTAAAGACTTCATGTAATTACCATCCTTTAAAGACCTTATCTTCCAATGCACTTACATTCTGAGATTCTGATACGTATTTTAGGGGGACACCATTCAGCCCATAAGAATGAGACCGTACCCCAGAGAAAGGTCATGACTGGCATATAATGGACAAGTGGCATTTGACCACTCGCTGCAAATTACAAGGCAGTGTTCCCATTCCGACCAGCTGCGGCTAACATAAAAGCAGCAAGTTAAAGGACAGCACACGTTGCCCCACCCCCAGCCCCTGGCAACCACTGTTCTTCTCCCTGCCTCTACCAGTTAAATAGAGTCAACATACAAGTGAGATCGTGCAGTATTTGTCTTTTGTGTGTGGCTTATTTCATTTAGCATTACGTCCTGCAAGTTCATCTGTGTTTTCGCAAATGGCAGAAGTTCCTTCTTTTTAAAGACAAATATTCTATTGTGTGTGTATATATACACCACATTTTCTGTATCCATTCATCAGTCAGCATTTAGGTTGTGTTTGGTAAAAGGGTACAAAGGTTCGGTTATGTCAGAGAATAAATTCTGGAAATCTAATGTTCAGCATGGTGACTAGTTAATTCTGTACTGTATACTTGGAGTTTGCTAAGGGAGTAAATCATAAGTGTTCCCACCACACACACAGAAAAAAGGTAACTAGGTGAGGTGATGGATTTGTTAATTAGCTTGACTGTGGTCATTTCACAATGTATACACATATTAAAACATAATGTACACCTTAAATTTTTTAAAAACATTTCTATTTCTATTGATTTCACAGAGAGAGGGAGAGAGAGATCGAAACACCAATGATGCGAGAGAATCATGGATTGGCTGCCTCCTGCATGCCCCCCTACTAGGGATTGAGCCCACAACCCGGGCATGTGCCCTTGACCGGAATAGAACTTGGGACCCTTCAGTCCACAAGCCGATGCAATATCCACTAAGCCAAAACAGCGAGGGCTACACCTTGAATTTTTTAAATTGCTTTCAAAGACGAAGGGAGAGGGAGAGAGAGTAGAAACAACCGAATAGAACTTGGGACCCTTCAGTCCACAGGCCGATGCAATATCCGCTAAGCCAAAACAGCGAGGGCTACACCTTGGATTTTTAAAATTGCTTTCAAAGAGGAAGGGAGAGGGAGAGAGAGTAGAAACAACGATGAGAGAGAATCACTGATCGGTTGCCTCCTGCACACTTCACACTGGGGATGGAGCCCCAAACCCGGGCCTGTGCTCTAACCGGGAATTGAACCATCACCTCCTGGTTCATTGGTCAATGCTCAACCACTGAGCCTCGCCAGCCAGGCAAATATATACAATTTTTGTTTGTCAATTAAACATCAATAAAGTAAGGGGAAATCACCTGAAATAAGTGTATAAACAAATAAAGAATTGGCAGGGCCACTGTTCCCTCATTCCTCTTCAGCTGCGAGCCGGACAACACTCGGCGCCAGAGCCTGCAGCAACCGCCATCTCAAAGGGAAATGACTGGCTCTCCTGCGACAAAAGCCAGCTCTTCACAGCGAAGAGGATGATGAAAGAAAACATTGTGCAGCTGCCCGTAAAGAGCGCTGCCTCTTCCTCTCATGGTCTTGCTAGAGTGCTCAACCCTCGCAGGTTGAATTGCTGAAAACTCTCACCTTTGTGGCTGCAATCAGAATCCTTGGCCCACTGTGATCACCAAGAAAAGTCCCTCTTATGTTTCGCAGCCAAAGGCCAATGCAGCCACAAGGCAGGTATGCAAACACTCCCCCTTCTGCCTTAGGAATCGATTGCCCTTTTCTGGCAAAGAGAGGCCCTCTGAACTGTCCAGCTTACTCAACCCCCTTCTCCTGATAACCCATCGGTAACAGACACCGCAGGAGCCCACGGAGGCGGCCCGCCTCGCCCAGTGGAAAATATCACCGAGACAGATGCTTTTTCTGGAAGGCACAGCGGTTTTTGTTGTTAGCCTGGCCTCAATAACACCACTATGTTTTGTGCGGTTATGCACCCCACAGGGCAGGGCCAGGCCTGTGTCCTTCACTCCTCCAGCACCAGTTCCCAGCACAGGGCCCAACAGCCAGTAGGTGCTCCATAAACACTCCCCACAGGGCCACTGTTCCCTCATTCCTCTTCAGCTGCGAGCTGGACAACACTCGGCGCCAGGGCCTGCAGCAACCACCATCTCAAAGGGAAATGACTGGCTTTCCTACGACAAAAGCCAGCTCTTCACAGCGAAGAGGATGATGAAAGAAAACATTGTGCAGCTGCCCGTAAAGAGCGCTGCCTCTTCCTCTCATGGTCTTGCTAGAGTGCTCAACCCTCGCAGGTTGAATTGCTGAAAACTCTCACCTTTGTGGCTGCAATCAGAATCCTTGGCCCACTGTGATCACCAAGAAAAGTCCCTCTTATGTTTCGCAGCCAAAGGCCAATGCAGCCACAAGGCAGGTATGCAAACACTCCCCCTTCTGCCTTAGGAATCGATTGCCCTTTTCTGGCAAAGAGAGGCCCTCTGAACTGTCCAGCTTACTCAACCCCCTTCTCCTGATAACCCATCGGTAACAGACACCGCAGGAGCCCACGGAGGCGGCCCGCCTCGCCCAGTGGAAAATATCACCGAGACAGATGCTTTTTCTGGAAGGCACAGCGGTTTTTGTTGTTAGCCTGGCCTCAATAACACCACTATGTTTTGTGCGGTTATGCACCCCACAGGGCAGGGCCAGGCCTGTGTCCTTCATTCCTCCAGCACCAGTTCCCAGCACAGGGCCCAGCAGCTAGTAGGTGCTCCATAAACACTCCCCGGAGGAGTGAATGAATTAATGAACAGGAGAAGATAAGATGGGGTTTGTGATGATCCGTGATGGGGAAAGGGTAAACCACATCACGTCGTCTGGTTGATGGCAGCCTTGTCCAAGAGACACTCAGATAAAGGCTACAGTTTTCAAGAGAAAATGGAAAGGTGGGAAGTTTTCCAACCACTTGTGATTCTATTGGGAAAGAGGCAGGGATACTTTCTAGAGCTGTAGAGGAGGTCAGTGAGTGGCCAAAAGGAACCCCAACTTTAAAAGAGAGAGCAAAAAGGAGAGAGAAATGGCTTTGATAGAAAATGGAGAAAAATTAAAGGACAATTTAACTGTGTCAACTGTGTCTGCTGTTCGTCAGGGGAAGTGGGGGAGGTGGGAAGTGGGTCCTTGCTGTCCATGTTCTGTGGTCTTAAGCAGAGGAGGAAGCACCCAAAAAGCAATCCCATGAGTTAAAAAAGCAGGAAAATGAAATGCAAATTCTACCTGGCCTCCTGACCCCCTTTTCTAAAGGAATGCCTTCCTACGCATGTAAATTGCATTTAAATGGCACCAGTCACAACAGAATGGTTTTTAAAAACAGGTTTCCAGCTGTCTGTCTTCTATTTTGAAGTTCCGACTTCATCCCTATACAAGATTCTGGGATATCTCTCTCTCTCTCTCTCTCTCTCTCTCTCTCTCTCTCTCTCTCTCTTCCTAAAAGAAATCTGCCCTGGTATCTTTCCTGGGACCAGGAGAATTCGCAGAACCTGCCTTCCTCCTCAGCACAGGCTGCCCAGCTGCTCCCTCCACCACCAGCTTCTCATCCAGCATCTCTCTTCTCCTCCATCCCCCTCCGCTCCCTCTTCTGGGCGGTGAAACCTCAGGACACCCAGTCAAGCACGTTCTCTTTCCTCCAAATCTGCTTCTCCTTCCAGCTCCATGGCAGAGAGTGGCGCCTGCACCCGTCGCGCAGCCTGGGGCTCAGACACCTGTGCTCTCCGCTTTCCCTCATCCCAACACCTACATGATGCCGAGCCTTGTCGATTTCATCACCTCCGTTGCTCTGTGTCCCTCCCCTTATACCTCTCCCCATAGTCACAGACCCGCCATTTCCCGCCTTGACCACTGAAAAATCTCCTGCTGGCCTGTCCTTCCCCCCCAGACTTCCGTCACTTGAATCACACCATCGCCACCAGCTGGCCTCGTAGAACGTGATCTGACCGTGTGCTCCTTTGTACTGAGATCCTCACAGCTCTGCTTCATCCACAGAGACAGTCCACCCCTTCATGCAGCGTCCCAGGGCTCCACAGCCAACCTCTGAGGGTGGTTCCTTCCATGGCTAACGTTATTACCTTGTACAATGCGCTAGTCCAATTGCATTGATTTTATTTTGCACAGTGACCTTGTAGCCACATGAGAAGCACCTGGGCTTTTGTTCGGTCTCAGATTTACCGGTTGAGTTGGTGTTTTCTGTTTTGGGTTTTAAACTTTGCGTGTTTTCATACCATAATCAGTAGACAATGCCATCGAGGTTGTCACGAGCAACAGTATATACACAATCTCTTCGTGTCTGTTACATGGCGTTTTCTCCCAGTTACTTTTCATGGAATGACTTACTTTGAACAAGTAATTTTCTTGACAAGAAAGAATGTATAGACGTCTCCCTGCAATTAATTTCCAATGTTTACATTTTTTAACTAGACTGTGGATTTCTACAGCGTAGAGGACGGGCGCACGGTCCGCGCCTGTGGTAGGTGTAGCTGAAGCCCTGTGTGTCTCTAAACACTAGTGGGAAGCTCTCCATAAGTGCCCGTGCCGACAGCCCGCAGCACGGGCGGGGAGCCCAAGCACAATCTAGCAGTTCTAACAGCGACTTGTTAACCGTAGCGACCTGTTTGTGTGTCTCCCTTGGAGACTGTGCTGGCTGCGTAGAGCCCTCCCTCGCTCACATGGCTGCAGGACCGCTCCTCCGCGCTCCCCTGCGCTTCAGTATTTCCATGGATACGAATGTAAAATATATAAATATATAAGCCTGCGGCTTTAACAACTGTAACTCAACTTTGGAATAGTTACGTATATAGATAATTAAATTCTTCTTATAAAAAAAATTTTATAAAATGTTTATTCTCTTAAATCCAATGCATTCACAGAGTGTTAACACTTTAAATGTTTATCATTTCCACCAACTGCAGCATTATCTAAGTAAACCAAAATAAGCACTTTATCATAGATATAGTCAATGATTATTAATACTTTTTAAAAAAAGAACCTAAACTTCCCCAAATTTCAGCACAGGTAGTTTAACTGTAGATTTCAGTTCTAGATGATTTTAAAAAATAGTGTGTAGAAATGATTTTTCTTAGTTAAATGTATTATATCATGTTATCAACCAACCAAATCAAAAGCAATTGCCAAGCTGAATAAGTTACAAAGAAATGATAACTCTG